GAATTGTCTTAAATATATTTTAAAATATCAACATTAACTAATTTTTTAACATCATATTTGGTCAACTTATATAATCTTTTTTTTTTTTTTGATAAACATAGTCTAACAATAATAGAAGAAAAGAAGCTATATTAAAGCAACTCCAATCTTATGTTAAAACCACGTTTTTACCGGTCTTTCGAGGTAAATATGCTGGCCTCCTATTTGAATTTGTCGTTTGTGATTGAAGATGAGATGATTTTTGATGTATATCACGCTATCAATTTACTTCTTTTTTTATGTTAGGATGAGGGGAATTGGAAAAAGACACAGTTAGGGAATAGAGGAAAAGAAACAAAGAAGCCTTACAATCCACCAACGCATGGTCTTCCTTGTTCCCCTGCAACAGCAAGACGAGCATCTTTCTGCAGAAGCTCCACAGCCAGGACATCACTTGCCTGCCAATGTAAGAAACACAAGTGGGAAGCTTTCAAGAAATGGAAGTGAAAATTAGAGACAAGATTACAATAAAACAAAAACATGTTGTTGTTTGAATTTTTCAGGTATCATAATTCATACATTTGAGGCCATGGAAATCACATACGCCCCTAGGGAATCACTACCCAACTCAGCAGAAACACGGAAGGTGTCCAACACTTCTTTAACTTCGGAAGAAACCTAATAAAAACCAATTTAAAGAAAAATCACAAAAGAATACAATAAAATTACGAAAATATGAACTGGTACATTAAAATCGAAACCAAAGAACAGGCCAATAACACTGCATACTAGAAAGTATACAACTGAAAATTAGATAAATGAATCAGTTCTGATAGCTGTTCAAAAATTTTATTATTTATCATGTGTATTGCTTGAAGGAGAAAAAAACAGTTGATCACTCCACTACAAGCATGCAAGGCGAAGGAGTTACCTGTATAGTTGGTGGAACCAGAGGTCTCTTCCCCTTTAGTTCTCTTGTTAGAAAATCTATTCTCTTTTTTTCATCCCATTCACTGTATGTGCCCATATCAAGATATTTGGTAATTGCATCAAGAGTCTCTGAATGTCTACCGGATTCCTGTCACATTTTGCAACCGTCAATCAGTCAGTCAGATCACATTGTCATTGCGTCCGTAATAGAAATATGAAACAGAACGAACCTGACGTAGGTCAAGCTTCATCAGTACCATCCCAAAGACAGACACTCTTCTTATTAGGTCAGCAAGCCGTCCATCAGCTAGAATTCCCGACCCACAGGATTGCTGAGACAATTAGAGTCATACATCAGTGGGGAAAAAAGTTTAGAAATAATCTAGGACTACTGTGTTTATTCTTCTGAGTTTTCTGTTCTTGATAGGAATGGATTGAAGCAGAAACTATGTATAATACCAAGGATTCATAGCACAGCATGAGTGGCTGCAATAGCTGATCTGGTGTGTCATAATAATCACCAGGCTCCTGGTCACAAGGAAGATCTTCAAGAAGCTGCTCTAAGCGCCTACGAGTGTTCCTAAGCTGGAAGAAGATGAAAAATTTGATGCTTTACAATCTCATTACAACATAGAAGGGAACTAGAAACATGGAAAGAGAAAGAAGTTGTTAAATGCTACCTCATAAAATACGAAATATACACTTATGTTTCCATCTAAAAAGGGCAGTTCAATGCAATGTTTTCACTATTTTCCCTCGAGTGTTCTCTTCTACTAGAGATATTTAAATAGTTAATTCTTGATATCTTAGTATTTCAATTACTGTCATCGTCAATCATACATGTCTCACTTAAGATTACCTTTTCTTTTACGTCCCCAAGAACAATTCTGTAAGGAGAAATTGCAGATTTCTGCGGCATACTTGGTTCAAGAAGCTTCCGAAAGCTGGCTCTTGCACCTTGTGTTTCGGGATACACTTTCCTCTGACCGAGCAGCTGATTGGGACTGAAGGACCCAGATTTTGGTGTAGAAGGTTGTTGACCAATGGTTGCATTTGATTGGTTCTCATTTATGTGTACTTTCAGGGGTTTGTACTCTGACCCAGGAACATCTAGTCGAGGATAATGAGATTCCACTTCGTTGCAGTCTATAGAAACATTTAAAAGGTATATTACTTCTGAGCATCTGATAGATTAAATGATCTCTTATGTTGTGTTTATTATGCATTGCAAATATATTGGAAAAACAATTGTCCACAGCATTGAAAAGCCAAGGATAAAAAAAGCATAACCATCATCAAATGATCTACATAGCTTTTAACAAATAAAGAGGGGGTCAACCAGACTATACACACTGCACTCTCCCTCATACGCAATCTCTTCTGACATGAGCAATTGCAAGGTGTGTTGGTGCCACAAACAACCATAGAAGTCATCGAAGTCTATTTTACCCATAGAAACATGGAATGATGAACTGAAAGCTGCATCAAGGAAAAATTTATTCCTAGAACGTGGAGAATCTACACTTTACAACAGAAGTCATGAAGTCTATTTACCCACAGAAGAGTATGATCCATATTTTGTGAACTACATTTAGTCATACACATAAAACCAACTAATTTTCGTGGTGTGGAAAGCTAAAACATCAATCATTTGCAAAAGGATCAAGATTTGAAAGTGCAACAGTACCAAATGAATAGTTTTTGCTGAAAACCTAACAAGCTATATATATGTCCTCGTGACATAATCAACATTGAAGGCCGCAAGAGAAGCAATAGTGTGATGAATTTTACTTTGATTGTGTGGAGGGTCAAAAGCATGTAGGTTTGAAGTACGATAGCAGCAAAGTACAAGTTGGGAAGAAACTAGGCAATAATAGAGGTGGAGATGTAAAGCAAAATTCCCCATTAGGAAGTGTTTAACCTGTACAAGAGGGTACATCAGCTTGAGCAGGAAGTTGTGTAGGTAGTCCATGAACATGATGGTTATGATGCTTTGGCATGTGGCTCCAACTCATGTGTCGATCCTCTTCAGAATTTTCTAAAAGAATTCAAAAACATCAACTTAGTTTGGTAAGCCAGCTAGCACCTAATGATTCCAGCTCAGATGTCAAAGGAGCAGACAACACAGATCTATAATGAAGTAACAGTATCAGAAAACATAAACGAGATACCTTTATCTATAATCTCATTTGCTAGACTTGACAGGCCATTGCTACACTGGTTCATAGAAAGTTCGAATCGGAGGTTGTCAACTTCTCGTGTGTAAAGATCAATAGCCATCCACCTTGATAGAAGAGATACGTCTCTTGTTACCTGTGACAGTAATATAGTTCATTCTAGCTGACCGAATGGAAAAGAACGAAAAATGTGGAAAGGGAACCTCCTATCACTCTCTTTGTACTTTGTAGGAATATCTTTTACTATGAGTGTATGATATATTGCCACAGAACCTAGAGCGCTCTTATCTCAAGTGCCTAGTTTTTCCCAGGCTAAGCAATATATCACGGAGTACATATCTCTCTGAAATCAACCCATCAAAGATGTAGTACCTCAACTTTTGGTTAAGAATTTAGAGAAAATAGCTCAGAGGCATATATTAGAGCTCAAATTTAGCATGTAATGATATACATGCATGATTATTATTTATCAACTTTAAACTGATCAGTTTGATGTCTCCTAAGCTGGCCTTCTTGAAGACTACACTGATGGACCCCTTCATCCTATGTAACAGATCTTAATGCATTCTCTCCTTATGTCAGATCATGAATCTTGATATATAAGTATGTAGCCACATACGAGCTCCTCCAACATTCCTTAACCCATTAGAAACTTCAATAACACCAATTTAGAAAACAACCAAATCATTCCAGGTGAACCGAGTATAGATCATGTATGTAACCTAAACACAAGTTTGGGCTCCCCAAAATGACAAAGAAGGAAGACAGCTCAAATCTTATGGGTATCAAGGAAAACAGATTTTAAAATGCAACTTTGACCGAACCGAACACATACTTTAAGAGAAATGTTTGACTATTAACTAAATGTCTTAAATAGCTATTAGTAATAAGATTGTGGACCCAATCAATCGTATCAATTCTTTGTAAAGTTAACAATTAGCAAGCGCCATTGAAAACTAAGAAATACTAGGAAATGCATGATTTAGGAAGTATTATGAAGATTTGCTGATCCATATATGGTTTACACGTGATGAGACTAAGAAAGAAGTCATCCAGAATTTGTGAGTGGAAAAAAAGAAAACTGAAAGTGCACGAACAGTGAAGTGTGTATTTTATTATCAACCAAAAGAACAAAAACAAATCGAAGAGAAACACCACAACTCTAAATGAGCACAACTGTTCAGTTGGTATGCACAACTGTTCAGTTGGTATGCACTACTGTACATGAAGCATAAAATCAATACTATCTGATCAGTTTTTACTATAAAAGATTTCTTGGGGATGCATGAACCCAACTAGGATTTGTATGTCATTGATAAATTGCTTTTAGTAAAACCATTTTTGCCTACAAACTTGAGTTCAACTGTTATAATAATAATTATTATCCCTGATAGGTCCTTCAACCACTTTTAGAGTTCAAATATGACGTGAGTCTTAAGATTGGAAGCTCGAACCTCACCTTCGAAGTGACATTAGGATTTCCATCTCTATCACCCCCCATCCAGGATCCAAATCTTATTGGTGTACACGTCAAAGGAAGTGGCCTCCCAGTATGCTGAAAAAAGGGAGGATAATTAGAGAACGTAATCAAGCCATGAACAAAGGACGCCTGCTATGATCCATGGATGAAAAATAGGGAAAATCTATGTTTTTAAAGAAATAGGGAAAACCTACCTTCTTTAGAGCATTGCTGAGACGGCGTAAGTAGTGGGGTATGGCTTTCCAAAGGGACTGCTCAACATAATTTAATCCTAGTTTCATATCAAAAGTAAGTAACTGCATGAATGCATCATCTTTGAAAGGATCCAAATATGAATTTTGTCATATGTATCACCAGAAAAAGTTTACCAGCTCTAGCCTCGTCTAATGGTGTAGGCTTATGGCGTCTAAGTTCATCTGTCTGCCATATAGAAGTTATCTCTCTCACCTACAAAATTCAATATTATGGATCATTCACAAAATATCCCCAAAACTTATGCTTCTACTCAAGAGACTTTGCAAGAGAACAACCAGATCTTCTATTAGAGTATCTTGATCTTCCTGTGTAAGATCTTTACGGTCATTAAATTCTAATAGATGCTGAAAAATCAACAAATAAAAATCAGGTTACGATTATGTAGTAATATAATCAAAAATTAAACTTCACAATTATAAACAACTTACAGAAATTCTAATGTGTTTATATTGAAGAGTACGTCTGTTAATCTGTGTGGGATGTGCAGTGAGGACTATCTCGACTGCCTACAAGGAAATCACAAGCGTTGTAAAGAAATTATTAAAATATTCAACATCTCAAAATGCATGCTTTATAATTGAAGATGAGACAAATAAAAACGCAAAAGATGCCATAACCCACACCTGGTTGCACACTGTGTCATAAAGCACATCCGGAGAAATGCCACCTTGAATCAGCTGATTGAAAGTATCATCACAAGATTTTGAGGCTTGTGCCACATTCTTTGACTTACGAGACCTGCAAGTAAGATGTTACACCACAAGGAAGTGTGATATTCATGCTGCTAAAAAGCTACGTAATCAGGCCATCAGTAATGTGCAATAATCAAAATTTAACGAGTCAAAAGTATCTAGAAAGTCTTCCAATATTATGCAACCTTTAGCATTATTATTAGTTAAAGATGATGGTGAATATAAGCCACTTAGCATTCCTTGGAGGTTTAGAATCTTGTATTCTAAATTGTCATCATTGTCATGTATTCAAATAATTGAGAGAGCGGAACCAACCAATCAATGAAGGTTTAAAACAATTTATCTCTTGGCTCCAGTATCTTCTCTTACTCTTGTCCTACCCAAACGTAATTTGGTATCAGAGCCACGTTAATAAGTCATAAAAATTTCTTGGTGAGTTAAAAATGACAATCCGTGATGGTCCTCAAATTCCCTTATTTTCAGGTGAACATGATGATCATAGGTGTGTTAAAATGGAGACCATTTTCAGATTGTTGTTGTGGGATTACGTAGAGGTTGGATATGATGACCCAGAAGCATCAACATCGATTCTCCCGATCTCCATATAATAAAGACTCTAAGAATTGATAGAGGAGAAGATTACACTTCAAATGCTTTTCAGGAAATTTGTGATGAAGGTGTGGAGAGGCAACTTACCATAGGATACACACCTGACTTTCTTGCTTGACTTTCTTACTGGTCTTCCTACATGTTTAAGTTGCTATATACATTAGTTCTACTTGTATTACATGTTTTACCTTCTTACCTTGTTTGCTTGCACACCATTGGATCATGCACACACAATGCAATTATTATTCTACCTGTTAGTTTTCCTGATTACCTATTATATTAGCCATCTTATATTCTTATTGCCTGCTTGCACACACCTTGGGTCATGCACAAGCCGGGAGTCTTCACGGAAAGAGCCTCTCTATCCTAGTGGTTAAGGTAAGGTTTGTGTATATTCTACCCATTCCCTATGCTACTTTTGAGTGAGAGATATCGGGTCCCGTTTGGTTTATATGGTGGGTCTGTCTTTTTTACATCACATACTCAGCCTAGAGCATATATCCATTTACAATGCTTATAGTTACTCTATATAACCAATATTTTGTAGACAGTATTAGTCGCTGCAATTTTATATCTCAATCAATGAATTGATTTAAGGGATAACTAAGCAAAGAATGGATGATGAACCTGTGATGAGTTTCAGCAATACCCATTAAGCTAAGAAAATGACTAAAGACTCTAGCAAGCTTCAAGGCTTCTTCTAGTGTCATTTTCGATAACTCAGAAGCCAATTGCTTCTCCAGCACCTCTGCAGTGCCCTCAATCCCAGCTGCTCTTATAAGACAGGCACTCTACAATTCAATCACAAATTTTCATCTAAATCAACATCATTATCATTCCCTTACTCAAAATTGCATATTCATAAGTTACAAAGTAAAAGCACAATATCACAACCTTATCAAACCAATTTGTGACTTCTCTTAAACATTACCAACAACCAACTTAAAACAGGGTTTTTGATATACAGATATAAAGACAAGACTCAACATTCTTGTAGGACGCATACATACATATATATATATATACCGGAATTGTTATTTGTGCATGTTCTTGATCTTTAGCTTACAAGTAGCAAAACAGCAGCTGTTATCAAATCAAAACATATATAAATAAGAGAATCGAACTGCACAGACAATCACAATTCATTTGTGTATGTTTTTAGGTACAACATCTATTCACTAGAATAAACTCTACTGCCAGATCATTAGATCAAATTATACACAGTTGAGACAATAATATGTGCTTGTTCTTGCTGGTTAATTCCTAAGGTACAAATTCCGAACATAAATAAGAGAACCCTTTGTAATTGTTCAGAATCACGTGCAAGTCCTACACATCAATCTGTGCACATGATCTGGGTTAATAATTGTTAAGGTACAAAAATAGAAGTTTTTCATCAAAACATAAACTACAAAATATTTGATATGATTAGTTTCAGGAATGTAGATTGTAAGAGAAATTCAAATGTTAGAACTGCCAAAAAGCCACTATGCATTGCAATGGACTTATACTCCCATACACATTACTTGAGCGGTGTTTGGATGGGTGCTTCAACTGTATCGCGATCTGAAGATGAAATAATCATTTTTGAGTATTCGGGTAGAGTGATTAGGATTCTGATTTTTCTATCATCTAGGATTGAAAAAATATGCATGCATATATATACTCGTATATATACCAACTAAAATTGTCGATAGACTAAATCATTAGTTTTGGAAAATAAAAACAGAAATCATATCAACGAACATGAACAAAAAATATGATTTCTTCAATTTTTTACCGTGAGATCAAATAATAGCATGTATCCGATCAATTAAACGGTATAACCAATAGCTTATATCAGATCATCTCAGTTTTTTTCTAATTGATGAAAACGATTGCTATTCACGTAAAATCAAACTAACAATAATAAGAATCAGAGGAAAATTAACGCATACCTGAGAGAGAGTACGAGTGTGCTCAAGTTTTTCCATGATGTTAGGACCGACTTCCCGTTGAAGAACGTCGTGGAGGAGGCTAAAGAGAAGGCGGAGATCATCATCGTAGCTCTGAAACGAAATCTCCTCTGCTATGTCGTCCGTTATGTCCGTCATCTTCCGCTACTGTATCAAATAACGTTAATGGCGATGGATTGTTGCCAAGAGAGAGAGAGATTACTGTGAGCGAGGGATTTCTGTGGAAGAGAATGTATAGTGTGGTGTGTGAGACTGTGAGTGGTTGGTATACCGTACGAAACGACGAACGTTGCGGTGACGTGTGTCGAGGCTCCACGGGTTTATCGGAGAAAAGTGGGACCCGCCTTCTTTTTGCAACAATAATGTTTGGAACCGATTCAGGTGAATCACCGCCAGGCTTTGTTTTTTGATAAATATGGAATATTTCCATCGGATTTCTTTTTAAAAAAATATTATGTGATCTGATGATTAATAATATCTCATGTAATTTCCATTTTATAAATTGATATTTTACTTTTTTCTTAAGATATCGACATTATTGCATTAACATTGTAGACTTGTAGTGCATTATTGGACGATGCAAACTCACTACCATGGAAGTTGCCAAAAGCAATAAATAAATTACCCTCGTGAATTGTTGGGTTTTAATAAGAAAAAGGGTTAAAATGAGAAGTGTATGACAGATCTCCACCATTGAATGATATTAAGATAAGATGCACCGAGATACATCGAATTAATCAATATATCAGACGTGATTTACGAGTAAGTTTAAGATTAAAAATGATCAATGATTCAGATACCTTCTTACGTTTCTTACCTTTAATCCTTATTCTCACATGATCTTTCGTATATCAATGATATGACATAAATGAAAGGAATTATCAAATTATTCATATCATGTAGGGCTAGGTTGTATGGCTCTTTCTCATTAAAGAAAACATTTAGGGGCTGTTTGGCTCATAAGAATCAGAAGGAATTGGAAGGAATTGGATTATCCAATCCTTTGACCAAATTCCAAATGAAATGTTTGGTTCAATAGAATAAGATGATGGAATCCGGTCAATTTCAGTCAATTCCTTCACGCACCGATTTCACAATTCCACGGTAACATGCTGGGATTTCAAATTCCTTTCCTATAGATTCATCCTCTAATCCAAAWTCATTCAACGCCTCTACCATCTCATCTACCGATTTCTGGTTCGATCTCCAGGTATGTTCTCTCTCTCTCGTAAACAAAATCTCTCTCTCGTAAGCAAAATTCGATCGCCAATCTGGTTCGATCTTCAATCGATATCTGATTCGATCATCGCTCTTTGGTTCGATCCCAAATTGAATGGAATTACGGCACCAATCACTTCTTTAAACAAAATTTCGTTGTAATGGATTGTTGTATTTCTAGTTATCACTAATCTGTATGATCATTTGTAACAGCATAGGATAGATGGTGGCTGTACAAAATGATCAACAGAGTTGTATTTTGGACATGGATTCCACAGTTGTCTGAGGAGGAATCGCTGTTTTGACGAATTTCAATCAACAAAACCCTCAATTCCATCTTCCCTTTTTCTTAAATATATTGCAGAATTTCCACGAATTACACAACCCCATTTCTAAATCATTCCAATATATATATATATATATTAGAATATATATATATCGTTGTTTTCATAGCTGGTTGAGCCAAAGGATTTGGTTTACGAATGCCCCTAAAACAGTTTTCTTCTACTTATCATCTCATTACACACACTTGTATATAATACATCTAAAATGCAAGAAGGGAAGATCATGCCACTGTTACTACTTGAGTTAATAAAARGTACATTAGATAAACAAAATCCTTTGGCTGTATAATATTACTAAGCWGCAGTACTCATATGAAAAAACATATGACAAACRTATTGTTACAACACCGGGTAAACCAAGCTGCAGTACTAATAATATTACTAGTACTCATATAAAAAACTGCAGTACTCAATATGTATGAGTACTCATATAAAAAGAGTAGGACAGTGGACATATTAGTTTTTTATTATTCACCGGTGTCATTAGTGAATCAAATAAATCAAGCACACCCTTGATATGTTTTTTTTTTTGATATGTTTGTGAACCAAGTACTCATATGTATGATATGTTTGTAAATCAAGTACTCATATGTTTGATGTAGCTAATTGATTACAACACCCCTTCAAATGGTTCATTGTAGGCAAAATATGTTTTTATTATTGAAGGCTTCACACAGCCATACCATCAAGCATGTGTGCATTTATTGGAATATGTCCACTGTCCTAC